ACATCCAATTGACATGGAGCAACTTTATCATTTATTTGGAGTCATGTGTCTGGACACCAGATGAATGGAGGTCCAATATTGACTGACCTTTTAGCTCTATTTTTGGTCTCCATCAACTCCTGAAAGAAATATCTGGCTCTTTAGCTGCTAAATGCTTCAATCCATCTTTACCAGCTAGTTACCAGCTAGCTGCCAATTGTACAAATTAATTAGTTTAGTTATTAATTACTGAAATTAAGTGCAATATTTTGCCGCATTTAGCTCTAAATAATTTTAAAAAGTCGTCTTCTTTTTTTTAACTAGATTTACAGCAATATTTGTGAACGTTGTCATATTTACTTTAAAAAATAAATGTAAAGTTAATGTTAAATCTAAATGTTAAATCTAAACCTAAATGTTAAGTGGAATTGTTAAATGTTTAATATAAATCTTGCTGAAACAAAATATTTAGCTAATGTGCAAATTCACAGTGCTGCTCAGCGGAAGTACCAAAATAAAAGCTTGATCTGGCGCTATCCATGGTCAATTCAGGCTCAAAGCTATAACAATTTTTTGTCGTTGTACTGTTATCATATCATTTTACTAGGTTTTCATATTTTTTCAGATGAGTATGTAAGCATTTAGATTTATAAAGTGTGGCCAGTTTACCCAAAGAATACCTTTTTAGAAATTTGCTCCAACGTTTTTGGATATGTTAGGACCCACTATCTGGATGGAGCCGGCACAAATTTGATGATGTCCAATGTCCACCGTCATCCCAGGGGAAAAAGTGTTATCTCTGTATCCCTTTGGCTTACCGCCGGTGTTATTGCTAAGATAATTCTTTACACTTTAGAATCGCCTCCATAGCTAGTTGCTAACTGTGTCTGCCTGCTATTTGCTGTTATAATTCTCTGTGGGCTTCGACACCATTAATGACTCCTTTCATATTAGGCCACATGTAGTAATTTTATTACATGTAATTCATTGTAACAATGACAATGTTGATTAGAGCAGCTTTAAAGAATCAGAAGCATTGAAACGATGAGGTTCAAATGTATTGCAGGTAAAATATTTGTTTAAGTAAATAGCAATATGGAGGAGGACAGTGATTTTAATTGGCCACTACACCAGCTGTGTCTTAAAAAAAAAAAAAAAAAAAAAAAAAAAACAGAGGTCAAAGGTGAAGGTTCAGAGGTTGGCTCTTGGTGACAAAGCCAATAAAGGATCAGGTGCATGAGATGCGGCTATCATCTTGAGCATATTAGATCCACAGCTCCACACACACTCACACTGTTTGTCTTGGATCATGAGAGCTACCAGAAGGCCATGTTTTCATCCACAGGATGGAATAATAGACACAAACATAGACACTGATGGGACTTCATCCAAGAATTCCTGTTCTTTAATGATGTGCTAACTCTGTGGACTATGAGCTAGGTATGGAAAGAAAAAAAATAGAGAAAGAGCTCTGTCCTTCAAGCATTTTATCACCAATGCCAATGCCCAAAGAGGCAGAAGCTGTCTCTTCATTCTCAAATCAGCAGTTAACAATAACAAGAAATAATAGCTGAGAGATTTTTCAAAAGAAGGGATAAAATAAAAAAGTAACACAACTGCAATGACTGTTAAGCCTGACTATCTCTTTGAAAATGACTTATCATTCAACTCATCTCTACATTGCACAGGCTGATAAAACTTTGGTGCTGCCTTGAAGAGCTTCTTCTTATCCAACTGTAAAGCCAAACATTTGTCTTGCACCAGTCACTACGTTAGAGGAGAGCCCCCCTGGTCAAAGACAAAGAGAGGGACCTTTCTCTCTTTGTGTGGGTGAGCTGTTCAGCTGTGGTCTCATCTACGCTTGTAGTGATTGGCCTGGTGGGCTGCTTTAGTCCCTCCCAAGCTAAAGACTGAAGTTGATTGATGGATTAGTTTGTCCAATCCCTTTTGGGGTTTGGCGGCTGGGGACTCACTTGACGGGAGGGTTTCAATATTCCAGGGAGAGAGGGGGAGAGAGGGAGACAGAGTTCGACTTTACGTCCAAATCCAGCAGCTCAAAACACAAACTGGTCACTGCTCTTTTTCTATTTGACAAATGTTTGTGGCCGGATCATTCGGCTCTGAGATTTGGGAGCTGTCCAGTGCTGAAAACGTGGACAGTTTTTGCTCCAGTCACTGTGAAGTCATTGTTAGTCTTAAGCCTATTCCCCTTCTGGCTGTAAACAGACCACAAAGTTCAAAGAGATCATAAAACTCCCACTTTAGTTCACAGTCTAGTTCACGGTTGGATCTGCTGGTTCATGGAATACAGTTAGAGCAACAAAGAAGTCTCATAATTTTACTGAATTATACAACACTACCCATCAGTTCTAAACAAAATCAATGCATTTTCAGGGCAGCATAAGCATAAAGAAACAAGCCTCTGAGGTGAAGCTTATTTTGATCATTCCAAGGCCTCTGTAAGCAAGTGCTGGTACTAATTTGCATTTATATAGTGTCATTCTGTTAGCTATTAACACTATATAAGGGGGGAATACACCCCATAATCACCTAAGTGACATATTAGAATGGGCACTTTCATACCATAGAGACTAATATCAAACCGCGGATGAGAGTTACCTTTAGCTTCCACTGAAAATACACCATCAGCAAGGTTCTCCAAATGCATTCATACCAGGAAACTGGAGGAAAAAACAGCACAATTATGACCAGCAGGGCTAAACTGTCTCCTCTGATTCATTTCATTCTGAAAATCCGGCTATTATATTTTAGGGCTGCCACTAATGGTTATTTTCATGATTGATTTAATCTTCAAATTAGTCTATAAAATGTCAGAAAATAGTGAAAATGCTGACTACAGTTTCCCAAAGCCACAGTAATGTCTTTAAACCCAAAGATATTCAACTGACAATGATATAACAGAGAAAAACAGCAAATCTTCACATTTGAGAGGCTGCCAGCAAATGGTTAGCGTGTTTTGCCTTGAAAAATAACTCAAATGATTGATTGATTATCAAAACATTTGCTGATTAATTTACTGTCAATCAATTAATTGACTAATTGTTTCTGGTCCATTGTTAACTATTGATAAATCTACAGATTATTGTTGTATCAAATGTAAGAAAATCATTTTCTCCAACTAGACCTAAATATATTCAGTTTACTATTATATCAGACGAAAAGAAAAGCAGCAGGTCCTCACATTTTAGAGGCTGGAACAAGGGTATGTGTGGCATTTTTGCTTGAACAATGACATAAACTTGCTGCTAATCATTTGCTGTCGATTGATTAATTGATTAATTGACCAGTCTTTCCAGCTCTACAGTATTTCATCTGTTTAAAAGGCACCTCACATGACTCTTTTTTCCATCTTCCACTGATGCAAAGTGACTCCTCGAATTGCAGACGGCTCACAGCCAGACATGATAAACAATACTGAGGCTGACTGAGTGCAAAGTGTGCAGCAACAGACAGCGAGGCAGCTGAACTGAGCTCGTACTCTATTTTTGAATCAGACTCTTCTGTTCCTCACAACACCAACGTCTGATCCCTCTGCTCGTATAAGTGCAGTCATCTACATACACACAACTACTGTATGTGCGTGCCGGGACACATGGATGCCCACACGGCCCTTTCAAACAACACAAACACACACACACATCCGGACAGAATGAAAAATGCATGCTGCAAACTTTCAGCTGGGTCTCTTAGCCTCATTCCTCACCATTCTCCTCTCTCCTCGTCCCACAGGCACTCTCTGTTATCTCTCACACACATATGTTCCCTCTCTCCTCAGCTCTAGCTCGTCTATAACGTGGCGTTGCCTAGTTAACCTCGTCCTGCTTTATGGCACTGACACACAGCTGGTAGTGGGCGCACTAACAAGGCCAGAGAAGAAAAGACTTGAACTCCTCCAAACTGGAGCGGTGAATAGAAACAGAATGGGCTTTATTGGGCTGCGGGGGCTCTCATATTCTCAGACAATACAGCTCATTTGTCAAGGTGACCCAAACTGTTCTCCTCCTTCACTGTGATTTGTACATGCCCAGTGTTTGTTTACAGAGCAGGCAGTCATCAATATAACACTCTCAAAGATCTATTCACCGGCTTGGCACCAGGCAATCACTCATTTTACCTTCATTAGGTCACTTTCTTTCTCTCATTTCTGTCATTTTAAAGGACCAAAGCAAAGTTAGTGTCGCACAGTGATCACTGGTAATCCAGTTTCCGTGCACAGCAGTATCTTTAATGTCATGCCCAGGTGACAGCTCTGGAGGTGGACCAGTATAAGATCAGATTTTGGCACTTATTCAACACATGTTGTTTGTTCACCAAAGGGCTCTGATTTACATAATAGATTTCACAAACACCTGTTCAAGTGTTCAGATCTGCTTCCACAATTGCATCACCTGACAGAAGGCATCCTCCCCCTTTGATTTCTTTTAATTTTGGCATCTGTAAAGGAAGGTTTATTAGACGTGTGCGTGTGTGAACCAAAGCAACAAAGTTCTTGTGGTATGAAGAGAAGATCTCTTGAGATGTAAAGGACACGCTAACAAGGTTACTTGGCGAGTTGATGATTAATGCATGCCCCTACACGGGTCGTAAATATAGACCAATATTAAAAGCTTTGACCAGTAAATAATTAAAGATATCCCAAACGGGTGCGATTTGTGTGAAGCCGAGGCGACGATCATGCGAGGGGAAATGCACTGATTGGTCCACATGAAATACTTATTACTTACACTTATTGCATATGCATATGATTTGATGTTGCATAGACGGGCAGTGAGAAAAGCACTCTAAAAAACTGACTTGCGCTGTTTTTTGCTCCAGTTTAATCAAAAGTGCGTTTTCATATGGTAAGCAAGAAACTGAGACACTTCACATCGTCTTCCAGCAGCTGCGCGGTCTCAGGAGCCTCCTGCCACCCGGTGACTTGAGATATGACACACTGACCAAACGATTGGTTTCATAAAGCGTGCATGCGAAGCAGATCGTCTTCTTGCTTTCGCTCTTACCTTGGCAAAAACGATGTGCGTCTTAATGGTGCAATCCCCTGGAATGTGGGCGAAAGCCTTGCGCCTCAGTGCAGGTGCTCTCCAAAGCTCCCAGAGGGTGCAGAGACGGCGAGCGACGAAACAAGGGTGAAACAGCACTTTGCAGAGGCAGAGGAGAGAGCGTGTGCACAAGCGCTCCGCGTCTCGGAGTTTACACTCCTTCTTCAGCGTTATCCTCTCCTCACTGAGCAGCAGCCTTATGCGCCGTTCATCCTCACACGCTGAATGTCGGGAATAAATGCACTCGCACACGCGCGCACACTCACACGCACAGCAAGGTGCTCCCTCCGTCCCCCTCCTCGCCAGCAGCTACGCTGAGGGAGAGAAGCAGAATCAGTTTGAACAAAGAGGCAAGCGGTGACAGGCAGACGGCTCCAGCGCCCCCATTCAAAGGGGGTGGGGGGTGGGTGGGGGGTAAAGAGAGAGAGAGAGGCGGGGGGGGGGGGGGGGTGTACTTTATATGACCATAATCCTACATAAACCTCAAAGGTTGATCCGGTGTCTGTGAATTAAATTAGAATTTACCCATGAGCTTACAATGACAGTCTGACCATCAGCTAAAACCCCTGATACCCTCGTGTCACATCCTCACATCCCCCGTTTCTACACACACACACACACACACACACACACACACACACACCTACAAACCATGACAACTTGCTCAATCACATACAACCCCATCCCAATGAGACAAAAATCAGTCCGTCCATCCATCCAATTAATGTGTGCAGGAGTAACATTTAACTGATGCTGAGCAGTAACAACTGCTCAGTGAAAACACAGCTGCCTCAGATGCACCTAACAACCACGCTACACAGCCAGCATGTCACCACTGCAGCGGGGTCAATAGAAACCAAACAGAATCAGTCTTCGTTAGCATATTATAAACAAAGAAAAAAGCTTGTTTGTTGCTGACGGCAGCTCTGACCAAGGCCGTCTGACCGCAGGTTCAGCTCCTCCACTGATTTCTCTCAATGATAAAGTGAGTAGAGCAGCAGCAGACTCCTCTTTGTCATTCATCATACTGTAGGTCTGCAGTCTCCGCGCTCAAGATGGTTTTGAATTATGCATCTTCCCTTGTGTAATGGAGGCAGGAGTTGGTTTTGGAATCTTAATAGAGCCACTAATCATGGTGATCAGGATGACTCTAAAATGAACTAAAAATCTTTATTTAAGGAAAGTACCGCTATTCATTTCCCTCATTCAAGTCATTGAAGAGAGAACAGCTTTTTTGCAACCTTCATTTTAACCCTACTGACTTGCCCCCGGGTAAGTCATTAGCAACTGCTGCAGTTCAGGCAAACTCGGTTCAAACCTGCATAACTTTATTCAGATTCCAGAGTTACCAGGCTGAATTTTGAGGAATGGACGAGACATGCAGAAAAGTTCCAGTTTTAATAATTCACTCAAACATTATATGGTTTCAATGAGGAGTTGGAACAGCCTGATACATGATACAGTATCTGATACTGCCAGATACTATTTTATTTCTGTTACGCACGTGGCGCATTTATTTGGAGTTGTTTGTCTGGTCACCTTTTAGCTCTGTCTTCCTATAAATATCTGTCTCTTTAGCTGCTAAACACTCCACTGTGCTCATTAGCGAGATGCTAACATTGTCTGTCTGCTGTTTAGTGCTGGCGAGGCAGCAGGTACAGTGGGTTTATCTCAGGGGCTCCCGCCTTCTGTGGCTGGGATTGGAAACGAGGTTGATGTGAGCGGTGAGAGTGAACCACAACAGTAAAGTTGCGAGCCGTAAAACCAAAACAATGAGCTGAGAGACACGAAAAAGCACCGTCGAGCCAAAGAACTGCAGAGTTAGCGGGTTGGCGGTGCCCAGTGGGTTCATCATTTCATCCGTTGTTAAACTAGTTAGAGCAACTGTAGCAGCTTTAAGGGGAAATAAGGATAAAAAGAGATTAAACATGGATAAAATGTGATGATGGTGTTATCTGAAGCATGTGCTGAAATACTCAAAGTATTGGCCTTGTGGTTTGAACTGTTACTTTTATGAAATCAGAAAATAGAGAGGAAGTGAAGGCAGCTACATAATGTAAATATGACCCATCTTTATAGGCGACTGTTGTGTTTTTCTACTCAAACTTGGTATCTGACTGGGGGGATAAACGAGGTCAACTGTAGGGAGGAAGACGTGTTGTAATTCATCTGGAAATTGATCCTCTGGAAATGAAGCTGAGGGCAGATCTTCTGTCCACAGTGCCACTGATCAGTTTCCAGGCCACAGAGGTACAAGAGTTTCCAATAACAAGTATTGATTCCGGCCATTACTGTTACTGAACAGTGCAGACTCTCAGTTTGTGGTCTCCTGACGTAGATATCACAGAGATTCGTGGACATTGTCTTATTTTCGGTTGTAACCTGGGATCTGCAGCGCTGACAATGATTTAAGTGCAAATATGGGATAAGTGCACCTCTAGCTGACACAAAAGCTTTTTTGTTTTTGTCAGCACATAAATCTGCAGAACTGAGTAACAAGGCAAGACACAAAGTATGTGACGAGGCCTGAGCCAGCTCAACATCTTCGAGGCTAATGTTCATTCATTTATTCAGCCGCCTGCAGACCTCACTGTACTCTTGTTGTTCATGTGTTTTTCTTTGTTTCACAGTAATTTGCACAAAACACAAAAAAATCGTTCTTCCAAAATCTCCATTTTTAATGCAAAAATTCTGATTAAACAAAGCTGTTTGATTTCTCAGAGAACATATATTAGTCATATTTAATCGTATTTAGTGCGTAAACACATAGTTGCATTTGGGTTGGCCTCTAATCCTGTTGCAAACGTTAGTTCTTGGCTCAGTTTTGTTGGCATCCTAACACAATGGCGTGTTTTGTAGTACTTTTGTGTGACAAAGAAGAGAGTATATTCAAATTGGAATCACTGGCGCACACACACACACACACACACACACACACACAGAAATGCTAGCAGCGGTGTAAAGTCTATCACTGATGCTCCGGCTCCAGTCACTGTGTTTATTTTACAAGCAGGCACATTTACAGACAAGTTTTTTGACAGGGCTCTCGTCAGTGCTGTGAGAGTGATGGGGAAAGCAGAGACAAACAGAGCAGTGGGAGATTCATCCGGCTCTTATTGCATCTCCGATTCCCTCAGAACGCGACAGGAGGAGGAGCAGGAAAGAGATGCAGAGGCACTAACCACAACTGTTAGAGTTTTACTGCAAAGGCCTCAGGGAGCTGCTCCGGGAAGCTCATTTGAACATGTGAAAACACCCGGAGATCAACAGGACACTAGAACTGACGTTGCAGGATAAAGATGTTTGGTCTTTGCCTTTTTTTTTTTTTTTTTTGATTTGCTTTATGGCTGCACAGCGGCAGCACAGTAGATGCTGTATTGACAAAATGTTATAAATAATGAATATTGAACATATATTTCACCGCAGGAAGTGAAAGTGGATATGTGAGGCTGTTTATGCTCAAAGTTTCGGAGAATAAATATTCAATCACTGTTTTACAACATTTACTGCATATGCATTGCACATAGTCACAAGTTCATGCGCGCACAGACACACACACACACACACACACACACACACACACACACACACACACACACATACACACATACAGACACACACACAGACACATACATGCAAGGAGGTTTGGCTCAGCCTTAATGTGAGCTGTGACTTTTAGAAATGTCAGGCACCTCGCCAAACAGACAAAGAATGTCAATCACTCTCACACAACACACAATACACAAGGGAGGCCGGATGAGGATGATGACACAAAAACGACTTCTGGAAAGCTATTATAGCATCTTAACACACATTGCCCTCAGTAGGAAACAAAGAGCATAATGAGGCTTTCAGTGGCGTCACGATTTCTCCACACTGGGCGAGATGTGTGGTGCGTTTAGGCTCCTGTGTTTGCTTATTATTTGCCGGGCAGCAGATTCCTCTCGGGTTTGTTTTTATGGCGATGCAGTTAATGTGAAGAGATCAAACAAGCCAATAACCACGCCACATAAAAAGAGAGGAAACAGGATATCTCCCAGTAGAGAGGAGTCTAAACTGAACTGGATTTTACAAACTCCAGTCTTTGTGCTGATGAAGAAGTTCAGACTTGTTTTAGCCACCACGCTGTGTTTAAGTGTTTGCGAGCCAAAAGGCCCCATCTGGGCGGCAGCGGGGCAGTCATGGAGGAAGTCGGGCAGACATGGTGGGCAACGATGTTAACCACATGGATTACCTCCACACTGTCTAACCACAGGCCTGCTGGTTTTTGTTTGCTTTGGCCTAATTTTCCCTCGCCCTTTCTAAAATGTCAGTTTTGGTCTCTGTCTGTCTCTGTCTGTCGCTGGTCGCTACACCACTTTGGTCCACGCTGAAATAACTCAGCAATTATTGAATGGATTGCTATGTAATTTGGTACAGATATTCATGGCGCCCAGAGGATACACTGGAATGACTTTGGTGAGTCCCTGACTTAACACCACCAAGAGGCTGAGTCTAGAGTGAAATGTCTCCGTAACCACTGGATGGATTCTCATGAAATTTGCTGCAGACATTCATATCCCCCTCAGGATGAGTTGTAATAACTTTGGTGACATTTTCATTTTCTTGGTTTTTAATTTATGACCAAATCCCTGCAAAAACTAATGACATTCAGTCTCAGTTGTAATTTGTGTTTAGTGCCACTTAGCAAATGTTACAGTTAACTTCACACCTTTCACTTCACTCAGTCAGACGTCTTTGAGTCTTCCCTGTCAAACTTTAAAATCTCTTCCTTTATCTGCTGCCGTCAGCTGTCATTTCTGTCACTCCTCCAGTTTTCATCAGAACCAGCTGTCCGGTGAGCTCACCAGGGATCCTGCTCCACCATCACGCTCATGCAAATTTTCAGCTACACTTGTTCTTGACTCTTCAGTGTCAGGGTGATATGTCTGTACGGCTTATACAGTAATGTTCCTTCCTTCCCTCCCTTCCTTGAAACGGCATTTTTTAACAGCATCTCACGGTCTTCTTCGGCGGATAGCGTTTGCTCAGTTGTCAAGGAAATGGATGAGCTGTCATCGCAAGATCAAGGAGGCCACTCACATCCATTGCCAGACACCGTCTTTGATCAAAAATGCGTTGTCATCTCCACACACAAATGACCACAAGTCAGTGACCATGTATATCCAAAATATGAACTTTTCATGAGCAAAACAAAAAAAGATACTGGCCTGATTTCAGCTTTTTGACAATACATTTTTCAGATAGTCCAAAGGGTTTTATTTGAACCTTTCTCAGCCCATATAGAAACCCCTGTCTCTTTAGTTTATCTGA